GGGACTGACACTGGACAGTAGGATCTTGTAACGTGACAATAGAAATGAGATCAAGTCATACGTTATAAACAAGACAGGCAAACACGGTTGCAATGTGACTGGCTGACTTCAACTACAGCTAAAGAGAGAGCTCTGAGCCTTAGTCCAGAGAAGGCTGCTTCTCACTGGACAAAAGGGAGCAATGGGCTTTTATTAACTTTGCGGAGCATAAGCTGAAGTGTGTTAATTGTCCACTGGTCAGGGCCATGTTCTCAAAAGTTTGTCATCTTGCATGCAAGCTTTGTGACCTTGTACTTGGTGGGCCAGACTTTCCTCAGGAACTGCTGAATGTCAATTGGTGCCACTGTCTTGTGTAAACATCCCAGCTTTATGACAGGGCTGGATGACTTATAATGTTTATGTTGACAAGAAAGCATAAGGTCAAGGTAGAAGAAACCCAAGCCAACTCCAATGGACACTGGGCCAACTTAACCATGTAATTCAGTCCTGGACATAATTCTCAAATGGTCAACATAGCTACACGAAGAGTTGAGCAGAGTCTGCTCAAAAGCTCTGAAGCAGCAAAGGATATAGACATGCTATACAGACAGAGATGCTAAGTATTGGATCCCAACTGAGCCATCTTATCAATATCTACATGTTCAAGTGAAGAATAAGTGTTTTTAGCAAACGCAGCCCCCAGGTTTCTGCAGAGCAAACTTGGCAATGATTATCACAATTCTCATGTGACAAGTGTTATCTGTACTGAAGCTAGTGGGCTAATGATGTATTTATTGTCCAGTTGTTCTGTAAAAACATTCTGGCTTTCCAGACTAATCCAATGTTTTACAACAAAGCCATGGAGCAAGTACAGGATGGAGGCAGAGGAGAACACGGACCATGTTTTTAATGTGTAACGTGTTAAGAGCCCAGAGTTTATTTCATCACCTTGGGGGTAGTCCCTGTTGCAGGACTACAGACACCCACCTGCATTTGTTCTTTCATTATTTATTTTTGTTGTGTTGGGGACACGTGCTTTCCACACAGTAGGCAAGGGCTCTACCACTGAGCTATAATGCTAGCTGGGGCTTGGCAGCTTAAGAATGGAATCAAAGTGTAGAAATGTTAAGAAAGTTGCATAGTATTGATTACTGGTTTGGGTTTCACTTTCTGGGGACACAATTAACAAGTAAACGTGGTATAAGCTACAGGTGTATGAAGTGCTGTTTGGCTTATGTGCACATTTGCAAACTATTGCCATGGAATGTGGTAATCTTTCACAGCCAGAGTTTAAGCTGTAAGAGGTACAGAGAGGTACAATCAAGAGAGTGCACAGACAGATCGATTTTGGGGGGTGGTGCCAGGGATTAAGCCCTATGTTAGACACACTAAGTTAACCACCGGCTCCCAGAATGTTTATCATTGAAACCAAAGCTGAAACGGAAATGATGAGATTGCTGCAGACAGGGATGGGTGTTTGTTTGTTTGTTTGTTTTTTGTTTTTTTTGTTTTTTTTTTTTTTTTTTTTTTTTTTTTTTTGTGTGTGTGTGTGTATAAGGTGCTTTGTATCATCTTGCTTTGTTTGAGATGGTACTTCCCCGGTACTTCCCTGGCTAGCCTTAGACCCTCTATACAGCCAACAATGACCTGGTCTTTCTGTCTCACCTATGTGCTGGGATTATAGGCATGGACCTATGGACTATCAGACACAGGCACAGGAATTGACTTTTGAAAAGACAGAGTATCTTTAATACAGATATTCAGGAGGGCCTTAGGACATGCACTTTGGGCGTTTTGTCTCTGAGATGGTGTCTCATCTCACTTTTCAGCCTGGTCTAGCCTTGAACTTATTTATGATCATCCAACTCTCATGCCTCAGCACCTCCACCCCTAATTGCTGAGATTACAGGTATGTACCACCATACCCAGGTCAAGAGATAATCTTTTTGATCTACATTTTCAATAAAGACCTCCTTTAAACATATTGGACCAAAAGAAAATGTCTAATTAATTGTTCCAGCACACAAGAGATGCCACCAGTTCCCTGGGACTTCACAGTATGTCAGGTAGCATGTGGAGATACCCATGAAGAAGGAAACATGGTCCAGTTCTTAGGGAGTTTAGTGTCTGGGCCAAGATTCAAAGTGTTCCAGCTAAAGAGGCAGCTAAAAATGAGTTCTAGAGTGGAGAGAAAGAGAGAATGAGAGCTTGCTGGATAGAGAGAACCAGGCCCACCTCACATGGGGTCTAGTCAGGCAGTGTGAGGAGATAGAGCTCTGAAGAAGAAGAGAGACAGGGTTTGCCCTGGGGTTGTTTGTTGTTTGTGTTTGGGAGCCAGGGACCCACTATATAACCTACCTAGGCTGGTCCCAATCTCGTTATCTGCCCATGTGCTGGGGTTACAGGTGTGTACCAGCATGCCCAGCTGATCTGTTTTAGTAGATCCACCCAGGCTGCTGTGCAGGGCACATTGGGAAGTTCCTGCAATGATCGGGTGAGGGGTTATGGAATTTGGATCTGGGTAGAAAGGAAAGTGACCAGAAGTGAACAGGTTCTGAATACATTTTAAAGTTTAAATTGTTGTCATGGGGGAAAATCAAGATAGAGTAGCATTAGTTTGGAATGCTTATGATGGAATAGGGAGCTCTGTATTTTTGTTGTTGTTTTGTTTTTTAAGACAGTGTTTCTCTGTATAGCCCTGACTGTCCTGGAACTCACTCTGTAGACCAGGTTGTCCTTGAACTCAGAGATCCTCAGCCTCTGCCTCCCACGTGCTGGGATTAAAAGTGTGCACTACCACCTGGCTGGTTGTTTTTTAATGTGATGCTGGGCATCAAACCCAGAGCCTCCTGCATGCTAGACAACCGCTCTACCACTGAGCTATATCTCCTGCCCAAGGAGGAAGTCTTTGTTAACCAAGTGGTAGTCACTCACACAGCTGAACCCCTAAAGTGGGCTGCTGAACCCCTAAACTAGGCTGCAGACTCCCCTACTCCAATGGGAGTCAATCTATGAGAATTCCTGTCTCAGGACATGGTTGTGAAGAGCAATATTTTCCTACATCACTACAGCACTAACGTTTTACTCATAAAATCAATACTCATGTAAGTTTTTATTTTTTTTAATTTTGGGCTCCTACTCATTTCCCTTTGACTTAATGTCTTGTCTCATCCTTGAAAATGTAAATGTCACCACTCAGTTCATCTTGCAGATTATCAATGCAGAAGTACTCTCCCCCTGCCCTTTTTTCTTTCCTAAAAGCTCAAGGACAGTTTTATTAGAGGTTAATGCAAACTGTACAGATGCGATGAAAATCCTGACAGCCACAAGGAGAAGGGGGAAAAGTTATGTCTTTTAAGCTAGGCATAGAGTACAAATAGAGACAGCTTTTAAGAAAAGAAAAGGCACTCCCAAGAATGGAAGGATGCTAATGAACTGAGGAAAGAGCTCTAAAGTCCTTCCCCCCACTTTTTTTTTTTTTTACGATTTATTTATTTATTATGCATACAGTGTTCTGCCTGTATGTTTGACTGCAGGCCAGAAGAGGGCACCAGATCTCATTACAGATGGTTGTGAGCCACCATGTGGGTGCTGGGAATTGAACTCAGGACCTCTGGAAGAGCAGCTAGTGCTCTTAACTGTTGAGCCATCTCTCCAGCCCCCCAACTTAAGCTTATGCTTTTTTTTTTTTTTTTTGGTTTTTTGAGACAGGGTTTCTCTGCGTAGCTTTGTGCCTTTGCTGGAACTGGCTTTGGAGACCAGGCTGGCCTCGAACTCACAGAGATCTGCCTGGTTCTGCCTCCCGAGTGCTGGGATTAAAGGCGTGTGCCACCACCGCCCCCTTCCCCCTACTTTTAAGAAGTATGTTAGATTTCTACTAAAGACTGTGGAAACATCTTGCTTTTTGTGGGAGCCCACAGGGGTTATTTAGTGAGACCTTAGTCAAGGTTAGAGAATCTGAGCTTGCTTTACCCAGCAGGGCTGCATAATGGGATGATTTGGCCACAGGTGTGGTTACCAGGTGTTTGGAAGGGTCTACCCTTGGCTGTATGGTTGCTTTGATCTTGCAAGGGGGAGGTCTTCTGTCTCTTCCCTTGGCATATTATAAAAAGCCTTTTGAATAAAGTTCTGGGTGGCTGGGTATTGATTCAGCACTGCCCCACTCCAGCTATCCTATGTCTCTGTCTTTCTTACCATCTCTTTCTATCTTTCTATGCATCATTTCTTCATTCCTCTCTCCTCCACCCAAGAACCCTTCGAGAGGTGGGAGCAGGTCGGAGCTGGACTCCGGCAGACCCACAGCTTTCCAATAGACTTTTGTCCAGTGAGTTTAGCGTCCATTACTCCTTTTTGTCTATGCCATTTATTTCCATGATGTAAATAAAGCCAGTAACTTTTTCATTCCACCCTCCCCATTGTCTTTTAGATAGGTTTCATTTGACTTTTTTTTAAAGTTTCCCCTTCAAAAAAAAAAAAAAAACAGAAAAAGAAAAAAATTAAAGTGTTGCCATAGACTTATGCATTTAGATTTTAGTTAGCACCTAGTGCTGCATTATTTTATTGTCTAATTTTTGAGGTTATAATAAAATTACATCATTTTCCCCTTCCTTCTTCCCAAGTCTACCCACATATCATAATTCTTTACTTTCTTTCAAATTCATGGCCTTTTAAAATTAATTGTTATTACATGTGTATATGTATATACAGACATATTCCTAAATATAGCTTGCTCGGTCTGTATATTGTTACTAATACGTACGTTTGGGAGTAATACTGCATTCTTGCCACCCTAGCCCTTCCCCTGCTGTGCTGGGGAACTAATACACTGACTGCCCCAGAGAAAGTGTCGGTGAAGTTGAAGATGTGTGAGATCCCCCAGGTTAGGCAAGCACTCTACCCCTGGGCTCCACCCCAGCCTCATCATTGCCCTTATTGATTTCCACGTTTCTATTGCCGCACAGATGGCCAGGGAAGTCACTACAAACTGTACCTATGTCGGTTTGCTTTAAAAAAAAAAAAACAAAACACTTATGTTTATTTACTTATTTTAATCAACAAGCAAAAATTGTGTATATTTGTGGTGGACAGCATGTTTTGATAAATGTGTGCATTCTGGAATGGCTAAACCAAACCAAGTGACATATAAATTACCTCAGCTATCTATTTTTATGGCGAGAACTCTTAATATTTACTCTGGTTTTAAAGTATGCACTCCGCAGTTCCTAATCACAGTCCCCATTTTGCACAGCAGATCTGAACTACCCTGCTCCCTATCAGTTTCTGAAGACTGACTTATTTTATAGCACAAAAGTGGGTTCAAGTTTGGGGCTTTCTATACCCCAGTCCTGGAATCAAACATTTCTCCCTTCTCATTTTAGTAGGAAATGATGTTTAAAACTCAGATCTTAGCCATAGGTGAACTCATTGCTTATGTAATGTCATTACTTCTAGACTTTTACAGAATATACAAAATTACACAAAACATACAGAAATATATATACAAACTAGCGGATACTTCTGATTTCTTTCCTATCCCCACAGTGCACACTCCAGAATCCTGCTATATATACAAACGATCTTTCATTTGCCCGCTTTCCTTAAAGATTATTATATACACACAACTGCATATGCCAAAGTCCTATGGTCCTTCTTCCTCTGTGTGAGCCTCTTTGGCAGCAAGAGAGGAAAGCGCTGTCCAGGATTTCAGGATGCGGCCTGGACCTGGCCTTGGGGTCACCACAGGGCCTCATCACCAGCCCAGGCGAGGTCCAAGGGCTCATAGGGCTGTAGCCAGTTGTCATTGTAGTTCTCTTCGAGGACTTGTGGCCCTCTAACCGGCAAAGAGCAGATGGTCAGGGGATCTGGATGTTCGCTGCCATCGTGGGCTCGGGGCCTGAAGTAGGCGCAGAGCGCCCCTGAGAAAGTGTCGGTGAAGGTGAAGATGTGCGATCCATCTGACGCATTGAAAAAGGACAGCTTCCCCTCCTCGTAATCCAACAGGACGCCTACCCTCCGAGGAGGCACTCGTAGCCGCAGCGCCACGCGCTGCGGGTCCAGCACGAAGTACTCGCAGGAGTTCCACAGCCCCATCACCCAGTAGCCGGCGGCGGGGCTCAGGCGCGCCGGCCCCAAGCGCTCCACCGACTCCAGACACGCGCCCAGGAACCAGCGGCTGCGCCGGCCCACGTGCACCTCCCAGTAGTGGCGGCCGCTGCAGAAACGCTCCCGGCTCAGCACGCACGTCTGCTCCGAGAACCGCTGCAGGCCGTGGGCCGCGATACTGGGCGCCCCCGGTCGGGAGGACACACTCTTGAGGTCGTCTGAGACCTCCAGGCTAGGGTGCGCTGTGGTGGGGTCCAAGGTCACGTCCACTGAGCAGAAGCATAGGGTTAATACCCGCTGGGGAAGGTTCAGGCACCTCCTCTCCTCCCACCTCCCCTTCCCTCCCCTATCCTCCCTTCCCCTCCCCTCTCCTCTTCCCTCCCTTCTCCCCCCCCCTCCCCGCCCCCACACACTGTCAACTACCCCCTCTTCCCAGAGTGGCACACTCCTGAAGCCTATTCCTTTCCTAACAGACAAGTTTCCGACTCCCATTCTTCGGTTTCAAATGAAGTAGGTTCATGGGTAGATTTACTAGGATGGAGTCAAGCCTTTTGCGGCTTGTTTCCTCTGGTCCCACCATGCGGTCTGAACAGCCTCGCTGTGCCTCTGCTTTACAGCAATTTTAGAACTCTTAAAACCACAGGGAACCTCTGAGATCTAATCCAGTGACCTACACTCCAACACCCATACCCCAAACACATCCATTCACTTGATGGTTGAGAAATTGGAGGATAACCCCCAAATGCCCAACCCACCTGTTTCTTGAGACAAGGTCTCCCTATATAACTCAGGTTGATCTTGACTCATGATCCTCCTGCCTCAGCCTCCCAATGCTGGGATTTCAGGTGTGTATCATTCCTGCCTGAGGGTCCCTTCTGAGGAACAATCTGAGAGGTTCCTTTCAGATTCTGCCGTTCTTCTACAAACAGATTCCAGAAGCAACCTTCCTGCCCTTAGGAAATGAACCCAGTAAACCCCCAAAAAGCTGTGCCTGTGTGAGAACAGCTTGTGTATGAAACGTGTGCACATGAGAGTATGCAGCATGCTTTATGTATACTGTGTTCATTTCCAGGAGATGGACTTGGCTTCTGGAAAAACCTTTCCTCTGATGTCAGACCCCTCCCCATCCTTTCTATGCAAGACCCAATCCAACCCTGTCACCCTGTCAGTTTCAGTTACTTACCTGCATATTGCTGGGCCGCTCTCCACTCTGAAACCAGAGAGAGAGAAGGGACTCAGACTGCTAAGCCAGCAATTCTGGGACCTTGAGGGTGACTTCCCTTGCTCAAGAACTGCCCACAAATTAAATATCCTCATCCCCACCTCTGGATTGGATTGGACAAGGGTCTACCAAGTGGTGTGCAGCCTCAAGTTACATTGGGAAGATGGAACACAGAGGCAAGGAACAAGCAGCCGCGGTACCAAAGGATGAAAATGAAACCTATCTCCGCCTGGCCAAGCTCAGTTCTGGAGGCCCTGCTGAGCTGGGCTCGGTTGGTCCTAAGATGCCTTGTAGATACCCAGTCTTCTCTTTACAGCCTCCGTTTTTATTGTGGATCATTACGAGTAGATTTTTCTTTAGTTTCCCCTTGTTCTATTTTGAAACAAAGAGTTGATCCAAAACAATAGAAGACATTTTTTCAGGATGCTAGAGGATTAACTCTGGACTGGAATCAAAACAGTCAGTGGAACTTTAGAGATACACAGCTCTAATATGGAATAACTTAGTTCCAGCAAAGTGTTGATCCAATGTTAGTTTGCCTATGAATTTTAAACTATTCATCCAAATCAACTTGAGAATTTTTAAAGGAACTGTGTAAATTTGTGTTTTTAAAGGTTCATTAACTTTAAAGGGGAAGCAGATGTGGGGAAGAAAACGAACTATAAAAACCTGAACTATAAAAACTTGAACTATAAAACTTGAATTATAAAAACTTGCTATAAACACCATAATGGTGTAAACAAGGAGTAGGGAGGTGAGCCCACAGATAAGAGCATCTTCACTGAACATACTCAAGTCGAAACCTTGCCTCAATGGGAAAATTACGGCTGGTGTACTAAATGGCATTGAGAAGGCCCATTCAGTGTACACAGACAAGTCTGTGGATTATCACTTCACACCCAGTGTGGGGACTTCTGTAGAACTGATTAATGGACGTCTATATGAAACATATTATTGCAGTTTGGATCTAAAACATTCTCCAATGATCCCGAGTCAAAGGCTTAGTCCTCAGCTCTTCACTATATGGAACCTTAGTCTCTGGCCTCTTCTGGTTCTCTTTTTGCTTCCTGCCTACCACAAGGCAAGCAGCTTTCTCTACCACACATTCTGTACTCACTGCTGCCTTGCCACTGGCCCAAGTGACTATGGATTTACCTCTGAAACTGTGACCCCAAGCAAACCTTTGATCACTGTAAGTTTACTATTTCAGGTATTGTGCGACACTAACAGAAGGCTGAGAAATACTCTATAAATTAATAAAAGAAATTATAAGACAATATCATTGTGGTATCCTTAGCATAGACCTTCAATAAAACTTCAGAAGCATAAGCCACTGGTAAAAATTTGATTAATTAACTTTATCAAAAGTAATGATCTCTCTTCACTAAGGGGAACATGGACAAGACTAACAGCAAATAATACAATAGTAAAAAGGAATCCATGTTGTTTAATGTCAATAATAATATACATATATATTGATAAGGATATATATACATTATATATCAATAAGAATATATGTAATATAGGAATGTTCAAAATCTTAGCATCCAGAGATGAGCCACTAATAAAGGAATGAGGAAGCATTTATTCCCATGGGCCAGCAAACTTAGAGAGCTAGCTCACACAGGGTGCAGGTGTGCAGAGACTCACCTTTGCTGATGGCAGGATGATGGCTTTCTGGGAACCCTTTGTCTAACTAACATCTTAATCTCCCTTCCTGGTTGTACCTCCTAGAGAAAAGGGGTGATAGGGCAGCACACTTCAGGCTTATTCTGTGTGGTTTGCAGTGGTGTGCCGTGAGAATCAGCAAGAAGAAACAGACCTAAGACACCTACGAGGTGGATATTTGAACAGTGATGCATATAGAGAGCAAGGGACAGGCAGCATGAAACACTGATGTTTACACAAACTAAAATGCATGTGACAAAGTAGAAATTCAGATTTGCAAGAATAGATACAAAACAAAATATGTATTAGGCTGATGGTCTTATGGAGGGAATATAGGCCCTTATGGTATTGTAAGGTCCCGAGAAATTCCTTTCCCCAAAGCTTGGCATTTAGACAAAAGCTAGCATTCCTTCTGGACTTAAGATAGTTCCTACTTGCTAAAAGGAGTCATCTCCTTAGCCCTGGCAAAAGTGACATCAGCTCTTCCATTTACCCGTGCCTGTGGTGTCTATTACACTATCAGGGTCTATGCTAGCCTCAGGGCTCCCTCAGCCCTGCTGGCACACCCCGCCCCCTACCCTAAACCTCTGCAGTCCCTGGGCTTCACTTCCCCTCCCCCACCTTCTCTTCCCTATGTAACTCAGCTGTTTTGGCTACACATTCTCTGGGTTCTCTTCTTGATTCTGCTCTCGGCTCCTCTCCTGCACCTCTCTTCTGTTTGCCCTCTCTCTTCTTCCTTCTCTCTTCTCTTTCTCTCTCTCTCTAACCCCTCCTCTCATGAGCCAGTTCAGTCTGAGCTCTTCCAGATGCCTCTGACTGAACTCTCCTTCCTGTCTACAATAAAAACCTCCTCAGCCGTACCTAGGAGTGTCCATGTCCTCATATTCATTCAGGTGTGAAGAGAAGTATTTACATATATAGTAACATGTCTGCTCTAGACTGGCAGGCAGTTGGAGGGTGAACATCAGAAATTCAGGTGACTGTAGTGTGTAACCAGGATTAGAAGCAATGTTTTCCCACATGTAGCCTCTGGACAATAAATATAAATATAAAAGTGAAACCTGGGTCTGACCTCTACCAAGTAAAATATGCATACAACATGTGAAGTGTATGAAAGAAGGCAGAAGCACCAGAGAGACTGTGATGCTGCCATGGACAGAGAGGAGCCGGCTAATGATGACTTAACTTAAGGTTTTTTGTTTTTGCTGTTGTTTTTAGCTCTATGATGGTGTGGAAGCCATATGTATTCATTAGAAACCATACTTGGAATTTTGATCATTTCTCAGGCTGGTGATTGGTGACATGTTTACTCTGTGGAGATGCTGGGAAGCCACAGTGAGTCACAGCCCCAGACAGTCACGTGATCAGAAGGTACCCGCACAACACCCTAGCACTGTACTGCTCATCTGTGATATTTGGTACATGTATCAATGCGTTTCCAACTTAGACTATTTTCAATGTACAATTTACAGTGCATTTTCAATTTACTTGTAAATTAACTTGTAAATGGAAATGTCCTAAGTTGGAAATGCATTTAGAGGGGGTGTGATTCGATCGTGGTAAGTCAGGGAGCCCAGTGAGAAGCAGTGGGAGAGAACAGGCTTTACTCACCAGCCTGGCCTTCGGACCTTCTCCAGTCTGAAGCAGCAAAGGAAAAGGGGAATTAGAAAGTCAGGACACCACATCACATCTGTGTCACAGCTGTCTGAATATCCCTCCCCTCCCCACCCACGCAGTCTGCACAGTTCCAGCCTGGGGTCATACTTTGTTGGGAGACAGCTAGGGTACAAAGTCAGGACAGGAAGGAATAGTTCTGGGGTGGAGCGCACTTACCAAGCTCTGTCTGAAGTCTCTCTGCAAGCAGAACAGAGAGAAACATCAACCTTTTGAGGCAAAGACCTTCCTCAATCTCAAACCACTTCTGACTGCAACTCTACCCTTGAGGCCACACTGCCCTGTAGAAGGAGGCTCATCCCCTGCACTCCAGGGCCTTTATCCTATCTTCATTTCAGAGGAAGACATCAACAGGCACTGGGCCCGGGAGGAAAACAGGCTTGGTTCTAAAGGGTTTTTCCCAAGGCCCCGATCTGGTTAGAGAGAGGTTCATTCTTTCTGAACCACGGGATTTCCTTGGCATTTGCAGGGAGGGGAGCGGGGGCAGAAGTGTGTGAATAAATAAGCCCAGGTACCCAGCACAGCCTATATGATTTGGGGGGTCATTTGCTGACCCCCAAGATCTTCATTTAAAGACAGGAAGGATACCACAATTATTTCTCCTGGCTAAGTGGAAAGGATCCGATTCTGCCACTAGAACATAGGCCTCTGGTCTCTCCCTCTTTTGTACTCTTTATATACTAATATAGACTGTGGTGTTGATGACTCATTGAAGCGGTTTTGCTTGGCAGGATTGAGTAGGCAGCAAGACAGGGCTCTCTACTCTTGCTGTTTGTCTGGAGTTTTGACAGGGCAGTCAAATTTTTGTTCTCTGGATCTTCATTCTAATTATGGGGGCCTTCTCCAGTTCCCCTTTATTTGGGATTTCTCAACCTCCTTTGTTTTTTGTTTTGTTTTTGTTTTTTTGAGACAAGATCTCTCTATGTAGCATGACCTGAAAATTACTGAACCTCTTGGGTCTGTCTCACCAGTGGAATGCTGGGATTTCTGGCCTGAACCAAGGTGCTCAGATCCCCACCTTCTGTTGAACACCCCTCTGCTACAGCACACCCCTCCACGGTTTTAAGTGGGTGTGTTCCAATGAGAGGGAAAGGAATTTACCAGAGCATTCCCATTTGAGTGCAAGTTCAAGAGTCATTCTTCACAGTGGCATTTGGCTTAAAAAAGAGAACGACAGATTCCAGGAAGATGAACTGGAGAGGGTAAACACTCCAGCAGGGTCTGCTCAGAGGTTCTCCTGTAGAAGGAACCCTGAAGCTGGACACCCACAGGCAGCCCATCTCAGTCTGATTGAGGAAGAAGTGGTGCACAAAGACGGATGAGAACCAAATGGATGCTCTCTTCCTCAAAGGATCCTAGCTGCTTGAAGGCCCTTTTCTGTTCCAGAGGTGGCCAGTTAAACTCACTTGTCCTGCAGCCTGCCCTGTGGTGAGGAACCCAGAACTTACCCAACCTTGCAGTCAGTCTACCTGGAGACAAAAGGAAAAAAAGGATGCTCTCAGTGTGGGGAAGGACCAGACAGATTATGTACATGGTGTGCAGACTCAGCTCTGTGCATCTGGAAGCCAACCTGGGTGCCTGGACACTCTCAGTCCAAGCAAACTCCGTCCTTCCCTTTCTCTGCCCCCCTCTGTGGTGGTAATCTAATTGTACTGAAATGTGATTTTGATTGTATGTTAATAAATAAAGTTGCCCAGGGGTCAGAGCTATTAGAGCCATAGCAAGAGTGTGGCGGTGGTGGCACACGCCTTTAATCCCATAGATATCTGTGTGTTCAGGGATATAGCCAGCATTGGAGACATATGCCTTTAAGACCTAGGTGGCTGTACATTCAGACAGTGACGAGGCAGTCACATGTTTGGGTTTACAACCAATGAGAAGGCAGAACAAAATACTTTAAATAGACGAACAGACAGGAAATAGAACCCTCATTCGGGAAGCTGGGACACCGCAGGCGGAAGGGTGAGATTTTAGCTCTGAGCTCTGACCTCTTGGCTTTCTCTTTTGCATTGTTTCTGTGTTTCTTATTTAATAAGACGGTTGGTTACATCAACACCCCTCCTAGACCCCCCCTCCAAGACTTGCCTTGGAAACCCAGCGGGTCCCCGGGCCCTGCTTCAGGATGTGGGGAGAGGGCACCTTTGCTGACTTACCTCTGTCCTTCTCGCCCTGCTCCTTCAGCTTTTCTGGAAGAAAGAACAAATGGGGAAAGCTGAGTAGGGCCTGCCCGAATCTAGGTCTCATTCCAGTCTGGGTGGCCTTCTGCCGCTGTGTCCCTCCAGGGCTCCCCACACCCCACCACTTTCCTATTGAGACACTAGCAGGTAGACTCCCTGGTATGCAGACAGGGAGAGGGATCATGGCTAGGTATTAAAGGTGGCAAATTTCCAAGATGGCCAGCTTCCTCCTAACCTCCTTACTTGAGACAAAAGTCTAGCAGCTTTGGCCTCCCACCAGCAGGCCCCCTGCTGATGGACTAACTCAACAAGTTCAAGGGACATTTGGGGACCAATTAACCATCCTATCTATCTCAAACTGACCAACCCTGAAGTAGGGGAGGAAGACTCTTCAGAGGCTTTAAAATCCCGGCCCTCAGGAAAAGACCGGAATTTTTTCGGCTTTTCAAGCCCCCCCACCCACCCACTTAGCTTCTCAGAGGGTCTTTTTCTCTGCATGTCTCTGTTGCCTGTGTGTGTTTCCTCATCCCCAATAAAAACCCTTTTCAAGTGTCAATTCTGTCTACTGAGCTTGAGATTTCTCTGCTGCTATCTGTTAAGTTTCAGATATTTCCTGTCTTTTAGTTATTTAACGGCACAGAAAACAAACCGGATCCAGACCCCTAGACTGCATCTCTACGGAGCAAAACCAGCTCCAGGGCCTGCCTCATACCTTGGGAGCATCTCTGCTTGTAAAAGTACTGCAGAGCCAGGATGGTGAGCACAGCCAGACAGAGTGGGAGGGCCGCCAGGGTTCCCAGGAACGCTTTCTTCCAGGGGGACGGTCTGGGTAGGAATACATCTGGAAAACAGGTCACATGGTGTTTGTTGTCTCGACTTAGGCTCCGCTAAAATCACTAAGACAAGACTATCTTGGACCTCACAACTGGGAAAGCCTTGAGTGACCTTAGGGTGGCCAGTTGCACCGGGAGCCCCTGCAGCCAGGTATGAACTGGACATGAGGACAGCTGGTCAGTCTTCACTCCAGGTAGGATCCAGAGCAAGGGCAGGACTAGTGTGAGCATCAGGAAAGGGAGGACTGTGAACTGAAGCTGAAGGACAGGTCCTACCTGGTCTGCCCTTCACCTCACCACCTCTTATCACTGGGCGGCCACTTCTTCCAGCTCTGAGCCTACACTTCAGTGAACCCACAATCCAAAGTGTTTTGTTTTTGAAAACCAGTGAGCTGTCCTGCCTGGTAGGAGAATCCACAGGTGGCCACTTGCTCCCTCACGTTGATCTCAGCTCTCACACCACTGGAAGAATTGCTAACAAAGCCAATAGCAGTTTAACCAGAGCAGCTCCCCCAAGCAATCCCCAGGGGTAGGATGCAGCTTGGGGCTGTATGCAGGCCAGGGCAGCTCCGAGAGTGGCCAGAAGCTGAAGGGATGAGAGCAACCTGGAGCATAACCCTGCAGAAGCATCTGTGCCGGTTCAGTGATGTTTGTGTCTGTGTGAGTTAATTATTCAAAGGTAATGCTTTATCCCAGAGGGAGGCTTCTTTAAAAAAGCATTTTTAATCTTTAAGTATGGTAAACTGAGGCTGAGATCACAGTGGTTAAGAGCCCTGGTTGCTCTTCCAGGGTCTCATGTGAGAGATAAGCTTTGTACCAAGGTATCGAGGACTATGGGGGTCCAGCCCCTCGATAGTTCCCTCCCAGGGTCCGGGAAGAATCTACAACCAGCTGATAATTAATCTTTGATGGGAAGAAATGAATCTATGTACACGAAACTCCTTAGTCCATATTTTTTATTATTCTGTGACAGTTACAAGCTTATATTCTGCTCTCATATTTAGGTCATCTTTAGCCTGATTTCTCTCTACACTTGTCTGCGATTCCCTCTAGGTTCTATCTTAATTCCTTCATCTAGTTCTGCCCCTTCTAGGTTCTCATCCATCTTATTCCTTCCCATATCATTTCCTCTCCCATCTC